TATATATATATAGTTGCTTTTTGCATTTTAACAGCTTTGTGCATCAGTGAATCTTTTGAGAAGTTGGTATGGTACACTGATCATCATTTTGGCTAGAAAATGCTACTAGAATGTTGTGTGGATTTCGCCCTTAGGCATCAGTTGCAAAAATCAGATTAAGGATGCAACTACATGACCTGCTACACTGAACCTGCAATTAGGTGTTGAGTTCTTGACTTTGGCCCTTCTTCTTCTGTGACTTACCATGGGCTGCTGGGGGTATGTGGTGTGCTGTTGGGGAGCTTGAGAGCTGGGAGGGTAGGCGGCCTGTCCAGGCACCTGCTGGGGTTGCGACGCGGCAGGAGAACTATACGACATGCTGAGCTGGCTGAGGTGAGGTTCTGAGAACACGGATGAACCCTGACCACTGTCAAGCATCCCGTCAGCCACTGGAAAAAGATATGACATTCATAATTAAATAGGAAATGACAGGTAGGTTGATGGACTGATAGACTGAGTCTAACACTTACAGGTCATTCCACTTTGCATGTAATGAAGCTGATGGTCAACATCAGGCTCCTCACACTCGGGCTGGACGAGGCCAGGAGTTGGAGGCTGGGAACCACACTGGCTCTGTGCAGAACCTTGAGAGCTGGGCACGTTCTTCAAAGACTCGCTGGACAACTGCTTCTGCTCCTCTTCCTGCTTGCGTTTCTCTTGCTCGGCTCGCACCTGTTGTCTTTGCTCTCGTTTGCGGCAGATCAGGGACACACGGTCTCTGATGGCCTTGGCCATGGTTTTGTGGTCGCCCTCGCAAACATAGCCAGACTCAACCTGTATTTAAACATAGCATATGTTACCATCTACATGTGCTATATCTGATTCAGAGAATCGTTGATAAACCCACCATTTCCTGAGCCACATCTTCTGGCACGTCCCGATGGAGGTCGAAGGAAAACTCGATGGCTTCGTTGTCTTTGTATTTGCCTTTCAGTTTCTTGACATCTTCAATACGCAACCAGAGCTTGATGGCGATCATCTCCCCATCGTCCTCTTCAGCCAGCTCCACCCGCACCCCAGTCTCCTCCTGGAAGAAGGCATGGTTCAGAAGGTCCTTGATGGCGTATCTGGTAAGCAAGATGATAAGCAAACAAGGCAAAGATGTTAAATAAGGATAGCCAATCAATAAAATAAATTTAGAAGCATGTGGCTGACAAAGAGAAACCAAATCACATTTATTACACTGGTGGTGGATGAGGAGATCCCCCCTCACAATGTAAAGCGCTTTGAGTGCCTAGAAAAGCGCTATATAAATGTAATGAATTATTAATTATTATTATTATTATCTAATTTGGAGGCACAAGGTGGAACATTGGGGTTGTCCAGGATGGATTAATAAAAGAGTCACTGAATGATTCAAGATAGGTGAAGTCAAGCAAAATAAACTAAAAATATCGAGGACCTGACTTGAATTTGAGTGTCTCATGATCAAATTGATGTTTATTGGGTTTCAGAACTCTCCAGACATGAATTTTGATAACTTGGCGCCATTCTGTGGCGATGTCGCATCAATGTCATGAAAAAAACTTCATCATCCCTGGTTGTGTAGCGATAAATATTATATCCAACATTCTATCCGGTTGCATTTGATTCCACGGAACAAACTCATTCTCAATTCACAACCCAACAAGAGGAGACATAAGAGGAAATCTATGAATGTTTAACATGAACTCCAAATAAAATGTGCATATATTAACAAATTAAACCACACAGGATGTACGTACAGGGATTGACCAATTAAAACACATTTAAAAAGAGCTGATCCATGTCACCTGCATGGAACGATAGATATAAGGGTAAAAGATAAGACTGCACAATCTTTTTTACCAAGTCAGACCTCAGGAAAAAAAAAATCTCAAGTGGGCTCTGTTGATTAGCTGGATATAGTAGACATCAGCTTTTCCAGTGCTTCATCAGCGGAACATCAGACGTCATCTCACCTTACGCTCGATACGTTGTTTGCGATTTTCCATTAAATTTTTTTATGCACTGAAGCAAAACAGAGCATCAGCTTTATGACTTCCCACAAATTATTAGGAAAAATACTTCAGATGGTGATCAAGATCATTAAAAAATATATTATAGCTAAAATTCAATATGCATGCAAAATACGAAATCAAGATTTTTTTGGCTTGGACATTTAGGTAGTTGGACTTGAACAGGAGACAGTCTGGTCAAGGCTTGTTTTTTCTGTGGCGTGAGGACACAGCACACTCTTCGCTGGCTTGGTGTGATCACAGATCCATTTCACAGAGTGGCTTGTTGCTGGAATTTTTCCAAAACAGCGTGTGGGAAACCACTTATCTACTGCTACTATTCACATTCCACATGGAGGACCATACGCCTAAAGACTGCGATATACACTCACGAGTTCATGGCACACGTCGCTGAGAACTGAGGTATGACTAGATGAATGAGTTCTGTGAACACAGCGTGGGTGTGGGTAGTAGGCACAGCCTTACCTTTCATCTTTGTTTTGGCGAATACATCCCTCGATGATCTCTTTCACCTCTGGAATGGCTACCTTGTCGAAACTGCCAGGTTTAACTCCCTGTGGGGTAAAAACACAAAAGAACATTAAATCAACATGTCTTTTGTGCTGTGAAAGAAATCCCTTTAGAGCTCCACAGGGACTCAACAGGACTACATATGGTGCACGCTTTAGTGCCTGCCAGGTGAAAACCATCTGATCAATTTCTCAACAAACCACACAATTTAAGATGGCAGAAGACGAGCCAAAGTTTAATACTTACGGTTGAGAGTTTATTCAGATTCCTAACCGCAAGTATGAGCAATAGTGATGTCTGCCATAGTAAGCACTAATAATAAGTGTTTTTTGATGGCACAAGTATAAATGTGGCTTGCATTATAGTGAAACCCGTGACATTCCAGATATAGCTGTTTATCTGACAGATTAATAAATTTTGCTGAACAAAGTTACCTTCCCAGTGATAAGGAAAGCTTAAATCTATTAAGCCAGGATTTTTGAAGGAAGAAAAGTGAATAGTTATGAATAATGAATAATTTATGAATATTATTTTAATTGATAATATTATTTCCAACAAATATTTTAAAGATTCATTTTGGCTTTAGTACAATGATGACATATTTATCCAATTATTTACAGTAATTAATTATTTTAATTTATAAAAAAAAACTGAATTAAGATACACATAAAACACTAACACAGAATTCCTTTATAGATTATAATTCAAATTAATATCTAACGGAAGTTGAGGGTACACAGAGTACTAGTACAAATTCTGCTCTAAAAAAAGCTAATTTTACTGCTAAATATTAATTTATCATTTACTTCACTCTTAAAAATACAGTCAAAACTTTGGTCACCTCAGAGGTAAATGTTTAATTCATTTTATTAAATTTCACTTAATCTCTACAAATCAGAATGGATTTCTAGCAACACACAATCCCATTACCAGCCATCAGATTTAGCACTGGAAAACAACAAATTGCACAATGAGATAAAACCAACATATTACAAATCAATCTTACTCAACAAAAATCTTCTGCTACTTTTCCTGCTTTGTCTATTTTAAAAATTGTGAAATGACTTTTAAAATCATTTAACATTAACAAAGCCTACATAGAGCTAGAGCTGTCAAAATCACCCAAGACAAAAAGAGTGCAAGAAACTTACAAGTGAAATCCAGGAACACTGTGTTGCTTTACAGAGTGGTCTGCCTGAACTATTACTCCCCCTGTCTCAGCATCACCTCCTTATATAAGTCTGTAACCCCCCTCAAATTCCAGTGCCAAACAAAGTTAAGGATGACGGAGTATCTAACAGAATTAAGGCAGAACGTCGAAGTATTCCGATAACACGGTGATTTAAAAAGCTTGTTATGGACGCTGTGAATGGGTCCCCTAAAGCCAGATACATTCTGTTCCCCCGCTCTCCTACCGGTTAACAAAGGCGGTAAATTAGAAGCAATCATTTTGTATTTAACAAAGCAGAGAGAGAGGAGGGCTCCTGGAACAGCTGGGGGTGGGTGTAGAAAAGGAACAAAAGCAATCTTCAACTTCTACTCTCTACAACTCCCCAAGCGACAAAGTGTTACGATGCATAAGCATACTGAAGAATACTATTTTCTGGTTGAACTCCTTCGATGCCAGTCTTGCCACATCTCGAAATTACTTTCAAGGGTTGGAAGATATAGCCAAATGACTGGGACATTATATCCAAACTAGACTTTTACCATTTTTTTCATGCTCACCTCAAGTTTCTATGATATTCAGGTGAACATTCTGGTACGAAATGCGATCAAGGGCTTATTTTGGACTCTTTTATCATCTGGTAAGCATAAATTGTGAATGTTAAGTTAAATTCTGAAGTGTAATACTTGGCAAGAGTACATCTACAGACAATACTCACACGACTTTACACCACAAATCTGATGCCATTGTTGTCAACAAACCAATTTTCCAGTGAATAAATGGCAACACTCTGTCCAGCTGCAGTGCCATTAATTTCAGCTCCACTTCTAAAGTCTTTGCTTTAATCACTATAAAAATAAAAGGGAAGATCTGCATTGCAGTCAAACCTGTGTGGCTCTAATTCCATGAACACTTCAGTAAAACGGTCAGGCTGAAACCACTCCATGGTCACTGCTTCGAGATTACAAGCAGTGTTTGCAGATGTTTCGAAAGAAAGAACAAATCTAAACCGTTTCATCGTAATGAAAGCATTTACTCTAGGCCTATATGGGACAAGTCCCGCATCTGTCTGTGAGGGTAACCTCGGGTCCACTGAGCTTAAAATGCTTTCTGATTGCGTAAAGCTTAAATTGCTTCTCTCAGTGAATTGTTGTGCCTGTGCGATTGGATTTCATGAGATTAAAAGGCCTTCAGGCAGGGTGGACGCCAGTTTTCCAGACAGGCGGATAGAACTGGTGAAATCTAGGATGTGCTCTGCACTTTCCAAAGCTAACAGGTGGAAAGGGTAACACCTCTACACCTGACTCAAGAGTGAGGATGAAAAGAAACAGACAAACTTTTCTGTACCACAATGTTGACCCAACAAAATCACTCTAGAACCTTCTACAATCACGTTTTCAATGACCAGTTACAAAAACATTCAGTCAAATGGAGGGGATTCAGTATGGAGAATCAGTACTGCTCCCTACTGGTGAGCCCCTCATTGGCTTATCACAGTCCTCAGCCAGTTGTTTTCTGCCTCTGCTGATCATATTTTCAACCTCCAGCATCATATGATCGCCCTATTGACCTGAACAAGAATAAAAAAGCTCATGACTGCCTTATACTCCCCCTCCTCTTCTCTGCCAATGACATTGAATCAGCCTTTCCCTTCATTGATGTCCTTTAATTTATAAACTACAGCAACAGGACTGGTCTTTTCCAGCCTTCTAACAATGGTCTTGGATTCATATATAGCTGTACTCTCAGGGACGTTCACCTCCATTGTTCTGACGACAACATTGTATGTTCATAAATAGATGGACACTTTTAAGCACCTTCAATGACGATTACATCACAATGGCTTAAGAGATCTGAAATAAATAAATTCAAGAGAAACTGAAAAAAAAATGACTGTGGAACATTTTGAGTTCAAACGAGACCAAGTCAGTCAAACACGAAACTACATTAAAGCCAGAGAGAGCAATTGTTTGAGCCAGAGACTGAATTCATGGAAAGTCAACACATGACGCACCACAAGCTGATATCAGTGACGGCTGTAAAGCGGATTTAATCAAAGCTAAATTTTTATTGCGACTGGCAGGAAAAAAAGAAACTTACACATCCAGATATCCAACTGTTTTAATTTTGGACAATTACTTCTTACTGGGTGGGTCTGGGATAAAGCTGGGCTGTATGACGACCAGTAAACTGGTCAAAATGAGGAATCTTAAGGAGTTTTCTTTTCTTCTTTTCAATAGCTTTGAAAGTGGCTTATCCAGTCAGAATTTAGTCACAACAGTGTTTTATAATGTTAGCTCTTGTTTATAAATTTTATTTTGCACAGATACCAGACTTTTTCAGATGTTCATTGTAAATAATCTTCTTCATTTCCATCAAAAAACAAAACAAAACAAAAAAAAGTAAATAGAAGAAATAATAATAATAAATTCAGATGACATACCTTTTGTTTCTAAAATAATAAATTCACTGGCTTATCCAAAAATAGGTATTACCATATAAATATTAAAATATATTTTTTAAAGAAATTAATACTTGTATTCAGCAAGGATGCACTACCGTAAATTAATCAAAACTGACAGTAAACATTTATCATGTTAAAAAGGAGACCTGTTTCAAATAATTATATTTAATTCAATTAAATTCCATTTCAACAATTATAAGAAGAAGAAATGTTTCTTGAGCAGCAAATCAGCATATTAGAATGATTTCTGAAGGATCATGTGACACTGAAGACTGGAGTAATGATGCAGAAAATTCAGCTTTGCCATCACAGGAATAAATTAAATGTTAAAATATATTACAATAATATTTAATATTTCAATACAATATATTTATATTTCACAACATTACGGTTTTCATTTTATTTTTGATCAAATAAATGCAGCCTTGGTGAGCAAACTTTTTAACATTAATGTATATTGTGATATATATACACTGTCAATATTACATAAAAGTAAGATTTTGGTCATACCACCTACTCCTCGTCACACAAAACCATTCATTTGAATGACACAGCTGTAAGTTGCTTACATAATCTCATGTATAGTGTGACGCCTCAAGCTGTGGGCAGGTTCCAGCGAGCGCATTTCAGAACAAGCTTCTTTTATTGAATTATTTCATAAGCAGAATCCTGAAAAATGTGGGGGTGTAATGACAGAGCTGGCGAAGATTATAGCAGAAGGAGAGAGAACGAGGCGCCCAAAGTGAATGAGGCACAGAGAGTGAGCAGAGGTGTGCAAGGGTACTCACGCTGGTGACTCGGCGATAGATTTGAGCAGGGTTCTGACACTCGGAGTACGGGTACTCAGAGGTAGCCATCTCCAGCATGCACATTCCGAAGGCGTACACATCCACCGACTCGTCGTATTTTTCCTCGTACATCTCAGGTGCCATGAACTCAGGGGTACCTTAAATCAAAAGAACCATTCAGAACTCTCAGTGCCTGAGATCTCTACTCACCCCAGCAGGGCCGGGGAGAGGAAGGGAGAGAGGAGGTGGAGGACAACTGCACTGTTGCTCCGTACGGCCCTGAGAGGAGAGAAAGAGGGGGAGCAAAAGATATGGAGAAAAGGAAAAATAAAAATAAAAAAAGAGGAAGGGGGAAAACCGGCCTCAATTAGTTAGCAGTGAAAGAATCCAGTTTTTCTCTGCAAGGCCTTTAGATTTTCTATTGCAGTACTTTAGACTAGTGCACAAAGCAGCCAAGCATCATCTCGCAAACAGGAAGTTGATTTAAGCCAGACGCACATGCGTTGGTGCAGGTTACTTTTAGAGCTGATTTATGGGCTTCGAAACCGTGTTTATCTTTACAACACGGCCGTGCCGCCAACATGTTAAATGACGTACCGGACAGCGGTGGGCGACTAGCTATGGAACTTGATCTATGTCAACAACACAGTTATGGAAAACACATGACCGACTCACCTTTCTACTAGCCTGTAAGGAGAGAAGGTTAAGCAGGTTAAAGCACAGAGCAAGCCCATAGCTAGTGAGCGAAGACTCTCGTGCACTAGCGTGTGTTAAAAGGCCTCGCACAGGAAAACGAGCTAACATATAGATTCATATTGAAATATTTCCGTTTTGGATTAGGTTGCTTTGTTGACTTACCACTTACTCGCCATTTTTTAGAATACTTACTGTATGAACTGCAGGACATTAAATAACCCATACAGTGGAGTGAGACCAGCTGAGATTATAGCCCTATAGTTTAAAGAAAAAAATTCTCAAAAACCAGGAAAAAAACAAAAACAAGTAAATTTTAGAGGAGAGAGAGAGAAGGGATCCAGAAAGAAATTTGTCATAATATCTAAACCATCTGAAAAGGAAGAGGGGAAAAAACTGATGAGGCAATCAGGAAAACCTTTGGAAAAAGATGTTAGACATTACTGGCAGCAAGAGAATTTCTAGGATTTTAATAATTATAGACCACAGGTTCCAAACCAAAGTGTTTATTCTGTTAATAATGATGCGAAAAATTCCCGTAGCACACTTACTAACAAAGCGTTATCCACCATGCGGCTTTGCTGGTATTCTTAAGGCATATATTACCCAAAATACCCCAAAGTTTATGGAAACTTAAGAGTGTTTTCACCTTTTGCATTTACAGGCCAATTAGTTTCAGGTGGGAAACAGCAGGATCTAAAGGTGTTCCCCCAGTTTATAAGACGTTCCCCTCTGGTTTTACCCCCCGTCTCCACCCCAAATTAAAACTTGTACCCTTGGCTGCCTGGAAAACTGTGGTCTAAGGTGAACAGTGTAGCTCGGAGCTACAGCATGCCTTACATATCTGAGCGTAACTGACAGCAAATGCCCCACCTTCCCAATTTCACCGTTATCATTGAAAAGACAAGCAGTGACATGATACATATTTTGGATTGTATACACCATGGTGAGGTGGGGAAAGCAAGAAAGTTCTAGCACTGGGTCGTACCTATGACACTCTTAGCGAATGACGAGCGCTTGAGGGTGGCCAAGCCTAGATCACCAATCTTAACGGAGCCGGTGGGACCGGTGATGAAGATGTTGTCGCACTTAAGGTCCCGGTGAATGATGGGAGGAGCCCTGGTGTGGAGGAAGTGCAGGCCCTTCAGGATTTGCCGGCACCAGCTCCGCAACACCTTTATCTTCATCACCTTGAAGCGCTTCAGATACCTGAGGAACAAAGAGTTGAGAATTATCCCTATGTTCTTCTTCACTAGACCTTGACAGAGTAAAAACAAACAGCAGATGTATGAACAGAAGATGATACCTGTCTCCAGGTTTGGTGATCATGTCTTGAAAAGACAATTTCAACCAATGAAATGAAAAACAATGAGAAAACTCATTCAGGGAGGATCAGGGAGAATTAAATGATTACACGATGATGGGTCTGGGTCTTTGAAACATCCATATGGACAGCTGCATTCTCATCTATGAGTCCCAGATAGAGAGGACAACAGCGTGTGAAGAAGGCAGTACAGCACTTTCATTAGATTAGCTTGGCCTAATCAAATCTTGGAGCCAAGCCACAGCCAGGATTTGGCCTTGTAATCCTCATTACAACAATCTACTCAGTTCAGGCACCAATACAGGGGGAGCTGGGTACCCTTTATCCCATAATGCCCTAGGCGAAGACGGGCACAAGCTCACAAGCTAAACAGAACATATATAGTTGCACAATTGACTCATCTGTTACGCGACATGACTTTATTTTAATCTGACACACCGTTTCCGCTCCAACCTGTTTGTCTTGAGAAGAATCAGATAACTGTCTGAAGAAACATCGGTTTATGGATAACTGTAATTGTGATTCAGAAATCGAATCCTTTCCTCTTCCTTTTCCTCTTCTCATAGTAAAAGAAAAATGGTTGAATAACATCGGATCAGATGAAACTGGTTTTGCAAGGCAGCCTGAGAAGAGATATTAGAAGAGCGTTTTTGTGTAAACAGATTGTCTCTGTAGTTTGCTTAGTAAGACTGAAGCGAGCAATAAGTAGTGCTTCGCCCAATGGCAGGAGGTGGGTGGTGGTACAGGGCGGCTTTGATGGAGTGTGGCGGCTGACTGACAGGTGGGAACGGAGCCAAGGGTAAGTCCCGAGGCAATACTGAAGAGAGCAACAAAGCCTGATTCAAAACTGTCTCATCACTCAACACACCCAGTGGCTCCCAGAGGGCCCCAACAGGCTGTTTTCCAGCTACACCAACAACTCTCTCCGCACTTCTCAAAACAATAAATTACTTTAAAACATTCCGTCCTCAACCATATAAACAGTCAAAGGCCTGAAACATTCAAGAAAATGTTATGAATTTTGATTGTCAGATTTATCTTTCAGATCAACTACTGTCACAGAGCAGTAGTTTGAATAATCTGTGTTTATGTACAGTATGTTTCAATCCGAAATGTTGGACTAGAAAGCTTTAAAAGGTCTTTTATGTGAGCATACAGGAACAGGGTGAGGGACAACCCACTCCCTGAGCAGTTATGTCTTCGGCGACCCAGACAAAAATGAGAACAAAGATTAGTTTAGGCATGGCCATGTCTGTAGGATGCTCCATTTCTACCTGACCTCTTGATCACTGTTTATCTTTGCGGTGGAGGAACAGCCATGCAGAATGCCACACATTGCCGGGATGCCAGGGATGATGAATACAAAGCAAGCCTGACATTGTTTCTCATTTTTCCTTTTTCGCTCATCTCCCCATGTCTACTCCTGGCAGTAATAGTGGCATTCTTGTTGTTGTGAGCTATGTGACAGATAACTAATTGTGCGTGACTGAGCCTCTGAGGATGACGGATCTTTGTGGGACTCCTTTTTATGTGTCCTGGAAACTCATAACAAATGATTACAATCAAAATGTTTAATCTGTTCTTATGTTAAAGGGCCAACCCAGTTCAATATGTCTGCATCATTTACTGGTTTTCTTGGTGACATCTTCATGTGCATGAGTCACCAGTTTTTTTTTTTTTTTCATTTCAAGAAGATCTAATAAGTCTCTATGCCACATTTCTATGAATTGATTTGGAAGGTGGGAAAAGCAAGAATGGTATCATAGTCAGGTACTAGTATTTAAGTGGGTGTATGACTCTGTTTGTGTCGGAGCCCATACATCCACAGGAGGGGGCTGCTGGTCCAGTTTGTGGTTCGTCTCATAACAGCTCCAGCATCTGTTCAGTACCCACAATGCCTGTCTCACATGAAGGTGACATGCCACTCTTCCCCTGCGATCACTCTGGTAACAGTTCTAACTCAATCGCTCTATTGTGATTGTGTTTTGTAACAGATAATCACAGCCTCTGTGGACGGTCCGCTAATGGCGATGGACATGAGGCTGGTGAAAAGCATGTTTGAAATGCCATCCTGTTGTTGCATTTGAATGCTGTACCACAATACAATATTAACTGCAGCGGATGCTGTGAATTGGAAAAAAAAAATGTGACAGAATGAAAAACCTGGGTAACACACTTTATGTAAGTGTTAACAATCATTTACATAACACCACAATCCTAACAAAACAAATGACACACTTTTGCTGAATTTTGCATTTGACCATTCATTAAGCAATATTATGTTGGACAGACAATATAATATAAAAGCGGACCGGATGCTTTTTACTAACGTTTTTAGGGTTCCCGACGTCATGAGCTCAGTCACCAGCACAATACACTTGCGGCCTTTGGAGGGCAACTCCCATGAGTCGTAAAAACGCACAATGTTTGGGTGCTGCAGGCCTTTCAACATGCCAGCCTCTTCCTTAAAGCGCTGGCGCTCTGATCTTGACAGCTTCCGATCCTGCAAGGACAAGAACAGAAGACATATAAACCTTTTAGCCACTTGTTTTACTTAAATGTGATGGAAACCATACTTAACAGCCATTTATTGTATGTTAATCATTTCTCACTGAGCGGAGAGTATTACAGATATGCTTTAAATCAAATGCCATGGCTTTATGTTAAACCACTATAGCTCACGTGGAACCAGAGGAGGTCCACGCTAGGGCTGGGTATCGAGTTCGATACTTTTTAGGCACCGACCGAATTGCCTCGATACCATCGAGTATCGAAAAACGTCTCGTCGTTCGGTACCAAATTTCGATACCTAAGGGGTTAATCTCATCACCGTCAGTGAGCCAATAAAGGCCCGGGTATACTCCACTTTCCGCGTTCTGTTCCATCTCGCGCTCAGCCGTGTCCGCACAGCTTTCAAAGTATACTCAACCGCGGATGAGTGCAGACGGACGAGCTCAACACAGGCGCAGTTTGACTTGCGCTCTGTCTCAACTTTCACCTCGCGCATGCGCTGTTGTACGCGGACCGTCCGCGCGGTCTCAAAAAATTGTTTTTTTTTTTTAGATAATGTAATCTTGTTAAAATTGATTTCATAAAATTGGTATCGAAAAAAGTATCGTTCAGGAACCGGTATCGAAGTCAAGGTATTGGTATCGAACATTTTTGAACGATACCCAGCCCTAGTCCACGCAACCTTAAATAACGTAACCCGACCCCAGATTCCTGCCAGACCTCCAAAAGAGCCTCTATAGACAACGCATAAAGCACAGGAGGGGACAAGACTCAACCAGTTTAAACACAAAGTGGTCCTCTTATCCTGTGCTTAATCCCTGTAAGGACCACACACAAAACACACCTATAAGAAAGAAACTACAAAAGCTTGGTGCAACTGGTTCAACGTGACCGGGCACTACATCATCTCCCTTGACTCTCTAACCTACCCAAAAAACCTCTCTGATATTCTATCCAGGGTAGCCTGACCTGCCCAACCACAACAATGTCAGGGTTTTCGGATGAAACGCACCTCCCTGCGCATGTGAGTATCCAAGCGTTGACGTCAAAGTTCCTTTCCGGTCAAGCTGAGCTCTTATCAGCAGTTTAAACAGTGTACGCAAACCTGATCATTAATCATTATTATGATTGCTCCAGCAACCGCCAGTGATGAATTAATCCAGTGGCACTTTGTGGAAAAAAGGGCCACTACTTTCACACAACCCCAGCGCTTAAATCATATGTATTACGTGAGCACTAATTCCATTCTGCGAAAGACTTGTCCTGCATACCTGGTGGGAAAATTGCAACGTGCATCTTATAAAAGCTATACGTAAGAGTTCAGTGAGGACACCTATAGATTTCTCCAGCTATCTGCAACCAGTGTATTCGGTGTCATTGATGTGCTGCCATTCTAGAATGCTGATGGTGGCATTCTCTCCACATTAATGCAGACAGAGTCATTCATTTCCCAAATGCACTAACAACCGTACTAGCAGCAGGCATCTGCAACTCATTAAGTACCACTAATCCCAAAGGACAGTAGAGGGAGAGAGAGAAACAAAAGGGATTCAGCCTTAGATGGGGGAATGAAAGTGTAAACACTATTGACTAGGGTTCACTGCAATGAGAGCAGAAAAAACGTGATGGAGAACGAGAAAATGCTGAAAATACATACTTGTATGCAAACGATTGGCCAGTGCATTGCAAACATGTACTCCTGTTGTGTGCACTTGCATACTGTGGTGGTATTTAGGTAGTTGGGTATGAACATGCTGACAGTTTAACTGACTTGCTCAGCAAGGTTCTCTTCACGCTCTTGCTCCAACAAAAATTGACCTGAAAAAAAGTGACTATAGAAGACAACAGTTCACGCTGGTGCCCACTCTGGCACCCCTTTCGGTGCAAAATTCAGCTTGGAAGCATTCGTGTACTTGCGTACAGATTGATTTTGGGCCCCTGGACCACATTTTGAGGCCAAACTTTAAGGAAGGCAGTGCTCTGAGTCTCCTCTCTGCAAACAGAGGCCATCTTATTTCCCATCTCATTGCGTCTGTAGATAATCTAATCAATGGCTGATAATGCAGGACAAAGGAAGAGGTCTTCTGCAGCATGCTGGGGGTTGCAGCTCTGCTAGTCTCTCTTCAGGTCTGGGGCAAAAAAGACCTCATTGATTGCGACTTAAATGGAGATTTTGGGCTCTCTCTCTTGCTGATAAGACACAGGAAGGATAAACAAGTGTGAGTGAGTGGGCGAGCACGCAAGATAGAGTAAGGGAAGTGATGCGTTTAACTTTGGCACCTCATGCAAGCTTGTCTTGGCAAACCACAAGCATCACTTTTAGCAGCCCGCTTCTCAAAATAAAAACACAGGTGCTTGTGCTCTTCTCAATCATGTGACGCAAATAATTGAGGGTTTGGTTACAGGAGTAAACACAGCTTTAACAGACAACACACTGTAGGTTAAACTACATAAAACAGACAAATTAAACAAGGAAACCCTTGCAAGTGGAGGCAACTACTGCATAGAGAGAGAGAGAGAGAGAGAGAGAAAGAGAGAGAGATTTAAAATAACCAAGATACCGGTTTACAGATATTATTTGTTAGCAGACAGAAACCGAATTCTTGGCAACTGAAAATAGGGCTTTAAAAGGTTAAACACTGAATTATTAAAGAGCAGTTTGAATAATTAGTAACGTTTCTGGCTCTATCTATTGAGTAAATTCTGCCTTTGTGAAAATAAGCATTAATTTGGTTCAAAAACAACACTTTTAAACTTTTGAAGTTAGGGTGTGTGGGTGTAAAAGAGGCCGCATATGTGCCCTTCTTTTCTATTAACTAACTCACAGGCAAACAGATCAGCTTTTATCTCTAGTTCTGCTTAGCCAGTCACGTGAGCTTGTGCAGTTCAGCGAACAATCAGCTGTTTACTCGACTGTCGCACACAAAATATCTTTTGGTCTACACCTCTGGCCTGGCATGGAGATATAAACGCAGCTGTGGTGCCCTCCTGTCTGTAAACAAGCCAAAAAATACAGCAGTAACCAGAAACAGCAGCGAGCCTTTCTAGAAAACTCACCCCTGCACTTTTCTGAGAAAATAAGCCAAATGCTAATACAATAATGATAATGGATACGATGCCAACTCCTGAAATTGAATTAACACAGAGCTGCTCTGTTTTCCTCAAGTCTTTTTTACTGCAGTGCTATTTCTACAGAGTAATGGGACAGATAGTGTTCGGCCCGCTGAGCGGCATCAATGCAGATGGGAGACTCTCACCTGATAGCGTTTTGCAGAAGTTGTGTGGGTGCACAATAAGATGCAATACAAGACGCTCGTGGATGTGGCGGGAACTGGATCAAAGCAGCTTCGACCACATCACAGAGCTGGACTAAATATGTAGTAAGAGCAAACCGAACGTCATTTCAATCAGTGGATCAAATCTGTGGAGCAGGCTGAGAAAGAGGCAGCTGTGAGAGCCATGTCTGAATAACAGCGCACTTATAACCCCTGAGATTTGCATTTGTAAAAAGGCAAATAAAACGGATTGGCATGACTCATGCTAGCGGGTTGCATAGCATTCTCGTAGGCAATGCCAGTGGGGAATGGAGCAAATGGTAGCTCAAAGCTCTGAGAGATAAGAGTTGGTTTCAGTAAACGGTGAACCTCAACCGTTATAGATAAAACTAGAGGCTCCTGAACTCTGGGATGGTTACCATGTGCATCGGGACAGGCGATGCTTGAGTCCAAACAGAGGTTGTGTGAACCAAACCAATTCTGTTGTTTACCAAATTTCAAAAGATTTAAAGATAATTCAAATGCTTTCTGTCATTTTGACATAAATATAAAGTATCTGGTCTTCTGCAATTCCCTACTTTAGAAACTAGTGGAGTTCATTCATGGTGCACTGTTCAATAAAATGGCTCATAAGATTACAAGACTGCAGCATCTGTTGTCATTTTCATGTAGCGAGAAAAGAATAATACAAGCACTTAGCATTGATATCACAAGAGTTCTTGTGATATCAAAGTCACATACATGTATTTATAAATGTATGCATTTAATTAGTTAAAAGTCTATTTAAATAAAAGAGAAAATATAAAGAGAAAATATAATACAGACAGAGAGAGAAATGTAAAAAAAGTTTAATGAATTAATAAATACATAAAAATACATAAATGTTTTAATTAGTCAAATAAGTCTATTTAAATAAAATATTAATTTAAAATTAAAGCTGCAAGCAGCGATGAACGGGCCCTCGCACCCGGGCTCACCGCCATGGGGTGGCTTTAGTAAAACAGCGAACGGCGAGCATTATGCATTTAAAGTGGTAAATATAGGAGGAATACGTCAAAGTCATTTATATGTGCCAATCTTCCTGCTGCCAGCTGGTGGCGCTATAACTATAACTGGATTTTGGCATGTAGATTTCTTCAGTCCAGCACTTTTATCAAACATATGAAATTTGGTGCAGATTGAACATGGTATGTTTGAGTTAGTATAAAGCATGACGTGTCCTATTGCCAACAGGTGGCGCTATGATTATAACTGAATATTGGCCTTTAGATGTCTTCAGGCCATGACTCTCAAACGTGTGAAGTTTGGGGCAGATCGGACATTGCTTGCCTGAGTTATAGCAACTTCCTGTTTTATGGCGAAACATCAAACTTTGTCAGGCCGCCAGGGACACGCCCCTTGACGAAAACTCAAGATCTTCGCAATTTAACATCACAAAGGCCTTATGATGACCCTCACCAAATTTGAAGATGATCCGAATAAAACTGTAGGAGGAGTTCGTCAAAGTACGAGGCCTGGAAATGTCAAAAACTGCACAAAAATTGTACAGTAAATTCAAAATAACGTGCATCCTGTTGGGTTTTGGATTTTGTACCAAGAGACTTTTTTGTAGGTAATGGTGTTTTACGCACGTGTACCGATTTTCGTACATGTACGTAAAACGTAGCTTGAGGTGCACTCCGTTGTAATTTTACAGGTGGCGCTATCGAGCCGTTTT